AAAAAACAAAAACCAAAAACAAACATGAAATCTTGTCTGGAAATATCAAAAACTCCTTGAGCCGGAGCAACAGGGGAGAAGCAAAAAGGAGGAGGGAAGCGGGGATTTAAGAACATTTGGTATGGGAGCTGGTTTACATCTGCTTGGATGCTTCCTCAATTCCCTCCCAAATTACATGTGCGCAGACACACAGACACACACACGAACACACGGAATCTGGCTTCCCAGGGTTACTTAAGGGGAGCACCCAGAAATCCCTGGGGAGAACTGTCCCCCATGTGTTGCAGCCAGCAGGAACCATTCCCTAGCCTGACAAGTAGAAAGAGGGAAAAAAAAAATATGGGGCACTAAAGCCTAAAGAGGAAGCAACTCCCCTTTTTCATCAGCAGTGAAAACAGAGCCCACAGGGCCCCAGCACCCCCTCATCACCCAGCGCACTGACACACACCGTCCCCGAGCATCAGGGTACTGCGGAGGACAGCGTGGCCTTTAACTACACCAGCAGAAAAACTGTGCTGGAAATATTGAGGGCACTTTAAACACTATCTCCTCAGACAGGAGGTGATGCCAGCAGGAGGTAGAGGTCTTTACAGCAGGATTCACTTTGTGGAGCTGGGTAGATGGAAAAAAAAGAATGAAATGCTTCTGAGCGTGGCGTAATTGGCTGCTTTTGCCTGCTGGCTGGCAATCTCACACGCTCACAGAGGCTGACGTGACAGGTACATGTAACCTCCTGCTACCTAGGTTGTTCCAGGTCATTATCCAAATGTGCCTAAGCACCTTAAGGGGAGCTGGATTTATGTACTAACATGATGCAAACAGATCTTCGTCTCTTCTCTAGATACACCAGGTATAGACATATTACGGCTGAATACATTTCCAATCCTGCTTGAAGGGAGAGCACGAGCAGAAATCAGCACTAGCTCCCCAGGCTGCTACGGGTGGCTCCAACACCCACTGCAGAGGGGGCAGCCAGCCAAGTCCCAAACTGCATATGAGGATACAGAGCTGGAACACTCACAAAACCACTATTAGCATTTAATCTCGTATAAAAGAAAAGCATAAAACCTCTTTAGTAAATGCCAAAAACTAAGGAAGTGAACAGCTCTTAACGTCCTGTGACCAAGACATCAAACCTGCACAGCTGTACAAAGGCTGAACTCCCAAATCAAAGCCTCTCCTCTAAATGTAAACCATCCTATTTCTTACAGGCAGCATCCAAGAAGTGGGCTGCCAGCTGATCACTGTTAGGACCATGCAGCAAGATGACACAACTATGGCCAGCAAATAAGACTAGTGCCTTTGAGTATTTTCTTTCTGAGTGGTTACATTAAGACTCAAAAGGCCAAGAGTTTAAAAGAACGTCTGAAAACATCACGCGGCATAACTGAGAAGCGTGGTCTCTGCAACACAGAAACCTCGGTGGCTTTTGAAAATATCAGCACCTAGATTAACTCGGGTATCTTTAAGACATCTGTATCTTAGAAAGGGCTGAGAAAAGGTACATGGATATAAACGATGGCCATTGACAGGGTGGACATGAATCCATCACTCTTGCCCCAGGGAAACCCAGACAGCTTCAGGTGGGAGGAAGAAAGGAAGCTGCAATTTGAGAATTTCTTTTGGCAGTGGAGAAGTTTCAAACCAATTTTTCCTGGAATGAAACATGACAGCCTTTCCAAGGACCTGATGGAAACAAGTCTTTCTGCAAGTCCTCAGACTGAGCTGTTTTACTTCGTTTATGGAACAAACGGGGAAGAATCATTTTTAAGTCAGTTCACAAGAAAACTGCCCTCCTCTGCAGGGTGTGCAGCCTCCTGGAAGCCATAAATTACTTCCACCGCAGAACAAGGCCCCTCGGGGTGCTCTGAGAAGGCAAAGGCAGTTGTGTCCATGTGAGGAAGAAGACAGGTCCTTTGGGTGGTGATCAGCTGTTCGTTTAGGTGACTTTGATTGCCTTCTGGAGGCAACTCTCCTGTCAGCAACTTGAAGACAGGTCTGGCTTAGCTAAGTTGTACAAATGTCTTCTTTATCCACTGCTGGGCAGCTGGAGTTGATCCATAGCCCCCACTGAGACGTGTGACCCCAGGTCCTCAAAGGGAAGGAATCAAAGGAAACACACTGGTAGCACTCCCAGTGTCTCGGCACACTCTCACTGCCCTCATTCTCCCTTAACCAAGGTCTGAAAAAGCGCAGATGCTGCAAACACGCAGGGAGCAGGCTGAAGAGCCAGTATTTTCTGCGTGCTGGTGGCATGATGGGCCAAAACAGGCTCCTGTCTCCCACAGCAAGTGTCTTGCATCCTACTGATGAAGGAGGAGTGATTGAACAAGACCCCTGAGCCAGACCTTGAGATGGTTCTGGATAATCACACAAAAAGCCACAGTGTCATCCAGCTGCAGAGTGCTGGGCTTGAGAGGAGAGTCCTGGGGGGAATTCTCCAGGCTGTATTATGCATGAGGTGAGATGAGATGATCATACTGCCCTTAATATCTATGAATTTCTTTCCATCTTCAAAAGCAGCACATGCTCTAGATGGGCTGAATTTTTACTGAAATAGGTCAGTAGAAAAATAGATCCTTCTTACAATGCAACACTGCATTGCCTTAATTTAAAAGAAGAGAGGAAAAAAGGAACAGAACCTGGGTAAGAGAGGAGCTCTTCACTCCGTTTAATGTTATCAAAGCCCATTGCACTGAAAATCTGAAATGTGTGCCACAGCAAACCTGACCTCCAGCCCTAGAGCTGTCAGATCCACTGCCCTCCATCAGCATTAGTGGCACTCCTAAGGCAGCGAGGTTAGCTTATTGCCAGGGTGGGACATGCAGCCCTCGTAGCCTGAATGAGGATTATTAACTTCTCCGGAGGTAGCACTATCCCAGCGTTTAAAATAAACTACAACAGACAATACACGAGAGGGAAAAGGGGAGTGAGGGGTCTGGGTCCTGCTGGGTCAGAGCTGTTGATTGTGGGGACAGTGATGGAGCTGTATGTCCTACAGCAGCTCGGGGACACTGTTGCAGTTTGGCTGGGAACCAGGAGAGAAGTTGAGGGAAGCAGAGGGAGATGAGGTCTGGAAAAGGCCACGCTGGAAGGTGGTACGGGCAAATCTTACAGGAGGATTCATGGCTTCTGCAGAGATGCTGTAATGGCAGTGAATCTGTCACCAAACCACACAGAGGCAAGAGATGAGAAGACAGCAGCTACTGGGAAAGGAGCCCTGATTTCTCTGTGTCCCAGAGCTCAAGCAGAAGGGAAGAGGTATCTGCAGAGTTTCAATCTCATGCCAGAAAAAGGATAAATAGAAATATTTCAGACAAATGCTGTGCAGAAAAAAGATTAACTGGGGGTGAGGGTGAAGATGAATGCAGTCCCATGGGTCCAGCCAGGAACAGCTTGGAGGAGCAGCCAAAGTCTTAATGAACCCATCAGAAAGCCCTAATGAGGTAAGAGCCAAGGATGATCCAACAGGGGCATTTTTAATCGGAGCACCAGTGCTGGCTGGAAGCACCAGTACAACCCACACAGGGCAAAGCTCCGCTGGTATCTCTGCCTTGGGGAAGCACCCAAACATTGTGCTTAAATGAGCTGCCAGGAGCCCCCCTGGGGGATTTAGCATGCTCCTACCCCCGAAACCAAGCTCCACTGCACACACTCTATTAAGCAATAACCAGGTTCCTGCACAACCTCAAAAAACGACTTAACAGACCTCATTTATCTGGGGGTTCTTTGCAGTTTCTTGCACATTTTATTGCAGGTTTTTTCTGCCCAAACATGGTTCAGTATATTGCTGGGAGACTCACCAGACTGTGACCCAGAGGGAAGCAGCTGATGATCCAGCGCCGGGAACTATTGACTTCACCACCAGAACGTCAATGCTATAGATCACTGGGAGCAATTAGGGTGGCTGATTACCCCACGTGCAGCCTTTGGGCAACCATCCAGTGGAGACATTTTCCCCAGAGAGCCGGCACTAAGCCTCGACAACAACATTTAAAGAACTACTTTGAGGGTTTAAGTGGGATTTGAGTGATCTATAGACGCTGCGCAGGCCAAAAGTAGGAATTTCAACCTTGAAGACTCAAGTCTAATACATACTGTAATTAAAAAAGGAGACCGCCAACTTCCCTGCAGCACAACCCAGTTGACATCAATAGCATTACAGCAGCAGAGAGCCTCACCTGTGATCTCCAAAATCCATCCGGGATGGAGATGAAGGACAGAATATGCCAGCTCACAGAGCCAGGAGCCTCCGCTACCCAAAGGTTCCAACATCCATGGAAATCTTCTTCCTTCCTTGGGCCATACTGCCTACTTCTCGCACCATCGTATTGCAGGAGGGTTTTGGTTTTGTTTTTTTTTTCACAAGGTAGGTATTACTCAGTGCTTACATTTCAACAAAAGGACCTTCCTCACAGATGTCCATGCCCACCAGCGCTTCAAGCCTGCCCGTCCCCCTTGCAGCAGGGATGGGGACTGGCTCTGGCAGTTGTGCTCCATCTCCCTCTCAGGGCTCATGAAGGAACAGTGGACTTCAGGGAGCTTTAGGCACAAGCAGCTTCACTACCCAACTCCCCTGTTCTTCCCCAGACATCTTAAGCACATGGGGACAGACAGTTGGTCCTTTATAGATCTTAGGACCAAACTGTTCCTTCCTTCATACAAGTCTATTCCTCAGCAGCCTCCTTTTCCAGGTCAAGATTTCCCACACCAGGTTCTGATGCCCAGTTTTCCCTCCCACCAACCCATCTCCTTCCGTCTCTTGTCCCCACCCTGTGATGTTCCCCTTTCTCTCCTGCTCATGGAAAGCTTCATG